TCAGTCAAATACTATGCTTTTTTCACAGCCGATGGATGCTGTCCTGATTCATACTTTACATGATTCATCACTTTCGTCGCTGCCACAATGCGTCTCAACAAGCAGTCGTGAAGCAACAGAGCCGGCGGTGGCTGCTGAAAAATACGATGATCTAGCTGAACTCGATTTCAACAACATGCGATCACGTTACGCAGATGAATTGGCGTTGAATGCTCTGTTGAATCGGTGTATGCCCGATTCTGCTCTAACTGCAAGCATTCGTCAAAAAGATGAAAAAGAACAAGAAGCTGAACATATTCAACTTCATGGGTCTGTCTCGAACGTGTATGAGAAAGCTTTTCGTGAACAAGAAGGACGCCGTACACCGAGTACAGGATCTGAGGAATCGCTTACATCCACGAATAGTGAAGCTAGTTGTTATTAAGTAGTTTACTGCTATAGAACAACCCTGCACAATTTAGAAGTGCCTACCTGCTTCCTACTTTTTTATTCTCCTAACACAAAAATAAATGATAGAGCATCGATCAATATTCATTAGCTGATTTTTTCCTTCTTGTTTTCATCTACTCAAATTGTGCCTGCTGTTGTTCTTGTGAATCTACTATTGTTTGGTGGTTGTACATAGAATAACTTGCTTCGTCACAACGGCATGAGCATTAATAATCAAGCAATCAATTAACATTCATTGGCTTCATTTTTTTTTCTGAAAATCGTATCGAACATGCACATGTCGAGAGTGTTCGACCATCGCTTATCAGATGTTGAAGCAAGACTATTGTTGTATAGAATCTCGTTCCCGATGGTTTCTCGTGAAAATTCCTATCCAGGATGTGGGTATGGGCACGGATGTGGGCGTGCGAGTGTAGAGCATGCATGTGAATGTGAGTGTGAGTGGGTACAGGGTATGAATGTGGGTATATCTTTCCTTCGCCAAACATCTACACCCACACCCTCGATAATAGAGAATGAAACAAGGCATCAAATCAAAGTGAGATTTTGGTTCGAAACAAATTTATATTTTAATACCGGATGACACAAAGATTAAAACTTCTTGTCATCTTGGATTGGCTCAAATTGGACATTAAGCTTATGAATTTTGATAAAGTTTTACGATTTCTTACGATATTTTCTTTATGCTGAAAGTTTTTATATCAAACATATATAGCGACGCTAAAAATTGATCATATATTCAACTGATGACTTTATTTTTCCTAAAATCTTAACAGAGGTTGAAGACATAAAATTCACAATAAAAACTCGTGTATTTTATGATTTTGAAAAAGAAACACATTTCAAAAGCACTTTAATAGTAAGATCTTCATTGAAATATTGTACCGAATATTTATCCTGTTCGAAAGTATAAGGTACGTAGATTTTTATAGCAAAATTCATTCCTTCTTTTTTTGTACGAAATGTTTTGGATCGTCTTTTATTCATCAAAAAGTTTACTTCTTTTTTTTGTTTGATTCTCTACTATTTCTTGTCTTCTACGAAGAACATTATTCGATTTTTAATAAAAAAAAAAAAAAACATTTATTTATTCAAGTTTTCAACAGAACACATCTATCATGGTCAGATATAACAAAAGAATAAACCAGTTAATTAACAGATAACTATAATTTGAAAATATAAAAAATCGAGTTTTTGTTTTCTTCTTTGTCTATTGTTATATTTGACAATGATTGATATAGTCTGTTAAAAGCTTGAGTAAATAAAAAAGATGAGTTATTGTTAAAAAAAAAAATCTAGAACATTCTCCAAAACAAACTTTTACTCATTTATCTCTCGGTTTATAATTTATCTCATTATGTATTATTATCTGTCATGACATTGTCGATTAGTATACAGACAAAGTGAGAAAAAACATCAAATCATTATCAAATGGAGAATACACTTATGCACTTAGTGGCGCTAATTTCTGAAATACTTCGATCACTTTTTCAGAAGGATTATTTAATATCAAATTGTAGCTTGATAAAAGACAAACCGTCTCATGAAGTCAGATTTTTCGGCCTATTTTTTTTTCTCGAGAAAATTATTAATTAAGTGGACCAATAGGATACAATGAAACACAAAGGCCAATAGCAATAGGGTATGATGTTATGGTTGATATATGCATGCATTCAGAATCAAAAGAGTATCCATTAACAAAAATGAATTTCTTCTTTTTAGAGCGTTTTCGATCACTCAATACCGTTGTCTTCCTTATGTCTCCATTCGACTTCTAAAATACAGTAGATAGCAAATCCTTATATAACAATTTTAGTAATAATCGTGTTGTTTTCTTATCAGTATTTCTAACAGCAGGGTCAACTATTGTAACAAAGTAGCAAGCACTCTTGTAATGCTTAGTTGACACTATTGTACAATTTCGTTTTCATAGTTGACAAACTCGATCCTAACTTTCCGGTTTTGTAATCAATAGTGGTGTATTCGATATCATGACATGACAGTCAAAAATTAGATTCAGTGATATGCTCTTCTGTCTTTCAAATCTTATTCATTCATACTTGATACACTTTTTTTTTCGGCGACCTATGTCAATGTTTGATACGTGTTTATTTTAGAGACAGTGCACCCATTCACAAGTAGTGTTTTATATAGAAAAAATCTTCCTTGATTGTAGTAAACTAGTGTACATTTTTATTTTATGTTGCTGTTATCTGGTTTATGAAATCTTAGATAAAAGAAGTCTTCATCGGCTACCATTAAATATTTAAAGTCGTATATTTTCTATTGGTCCTTATGTGTAAGTGCGAAGAGTAGTTGCATAAGGTTTAGCACTTTAACTATAAATTTAAATAAAAATAAAAATAAGAGTTCTTTGCAATTTATGTTTCAAAAAGTTAAAGCTGCATTAAATTCCCTGACATTTTTTCTTGTAGAGAAATTATTTTTTCAAAAAAAAAGCAAACGCATATAAGGAAAGTGACCCTTTTTATGAAGAAATGTTTTTTCAAAAAAAAACAATTGTCTTTTGAAAAAAATACTATTTTGTTTTAAAATTAAAATACGACGACAATCTTGATACGTACAAGTTTTACGAGAAGAGAGCGGGAGGTCGAGGGCTAAAAAGATCAACTGAAAGCTGCTTTTGAATTCGACCAGAATTAGTAGATTACAGTGATATTTTTACAAATAGTACGGAAAAAAATGAATAAAACGCTTAAAATTCTTTTGTTAAGGAGTCAAGCTTAGGGTAATTGGGATGTGAGTCTTTCTTCCAGTAAGAAAGCTCTGATAAATTCATATGAAATATGTCTTTTTTTAAAATCCAATTTTAATAATCAAGACTTTGCAAACTTTGTGATACTTTGTTTTAAAAACAGAGCGTTATTTTACACTTCAACGAGAAAAATTTCATTTCATTTGATTTTTTTATTTTAGATTTCTATTGGAAACTCCATTACGTGTCACTTTGTTTTTGTTTTTTATCTCTTTCTAAAAAACACATCTGGCACCATCTAAATCAAAACCACGACCATCTACATGTTTTTAAAAAAACTATGGATCGAAAATGAAGTACAATAAAACAAGCCATAATTCGTTTCATATTTTTTTCTATGATTGTATTTATTTGTTAATTTTTTGTTGATCGTAAAATTGATTTTAAAATAAATTTAACGATTAAGACGATCGTCAATACACAGAAAACAGATTTGATTCATATAAAAGAAAGTACAACAAAACAAACTTAGATGCAATAAGATAAAGTTAAAGAATTCATTTTGTGAAGCTGTCATTTTGTTTTGTACTACCCTTCCATGCTGAAGCCATTAAAGACTCTTTTTTCCGATTGGTCAGATTATATCGATTATTTCTCTGGTACAATCACTTTTTTAGAAAAAACTAAAAGCACAGCTCGATAGAGAATTTTTTCTTCTATCTTCTAGTATTAACAAAAACCTCGGCCCATTTAATTTTCTAAGAGGTCGCCACACGTAGTGCATTTGATATTGATTCGCTTAAAACGCTATACTTTTTTCGCTCTGTCGGCATACTAGATTTTAATATGTCATAAAATATGATGTTTAGAAGACGACGCTGCTATTATCTTCATTGATTCATTCTTCTAACTAATGGTTTTTTGTTCCAGCGACATCTTCAACAGACATTAAAACTTGTAAGCTGAGTAGAACTAATAACCGACAGTTGGAGTACAATCGCAATTGTTATATCACGCGCGTTGTCAAATGAAATCTGATATTGTTCGAATAACTTCAAAAGATTCAAGCATAAGAAAACGCAGTTTGTGATTAGTAGTTATCGTGACATTATATACGATTAGTTTTTAATCAAATCAATGAACATTATTTTTGCGTATTTTTTTAATTTAATCTGGCATGTTCATGTTGAAAACGCGTTTGATAGTTAGTGAAGATAATAAATGAAATATGAATTAGATTTTATTGAAAATCATATTTGAATTTCTTTGAATCATTCTTAAGATTTTCAGCAAAGAAAATCATTTATTTGATGTATGATCAATTTTGAACGGTATTGTATATTTTTCTTTCTAATATAGTTGCAAAATAGCATTGATTTTTTTTTTGTCTGTAATGTTCCTATCATTATTATTCTATCTTGTGTAAACAATTCATTCACTCGCACTGAGCATATTACAAAAATAAACAAAACAATATTCTCGTTTTTATTTCATATACATCTTATTTGGTATTACAGTCACCATACGGAGATATAAGTTTGTCTTGCAGCAAAAATTAAATATTGATCAAGAGAAAATAGATGTATACGTAATCTTGACCAACTGTAGAATTTTCTAATATACTTTTGTTAATGCTCTTAACTACATTTATCATATTTACGTATATATTATTTCGAGTAAATGTCAAGAAGTTGTGTCTTATTAAATACGGCAGAATTTTCTTTTTTAGTTTATTCTTTTCTTTTAAAGAATTATTCCACTGATGTTTTCTGCTACTATCGCCATACTTAGCAACGCGCTGATTCCATAGAATAAACTATGGATTAGTTGTTGTTTCTCATTTATTTTGTGATTTTCCAGACGAAGAAAAAAACGATGTCTGCTATTACGGAATCAATCGATGATCTTGTTCGTGAGGCTGAAATATTAAAAACTCGACTTGAAGAAGAACGTGCAAAATTTAATGATATGGACCGTATGTTAAAAAAAGTCTTCTTTTTTTCTCTTGTTGTCTTTGAATTAATTAGTTATCTAATTCAATTTTGTTTTTTTTTTTAATTTTATTCATTAGTAACAATTGTTGCTGAAAAACTTGATCCATTACCACCATTTGCAACAAAATCACGACGAATTTTAAAAGGTCATCAAGGAAAAGTTTTAGCTATTGATTGGTCATATGATAAACGACATATGGTTAGTACATCACAAGATGGAAAATTAATTCTTTGGGATGCATTTACAACTAATAAAGAAGTAAC